ACCAATACAAAACACACACAAACACACACAGTGTGATAGCAAACAGAGAGATATTAGTGAAAAGATTCGGCAAACAGCATATGTGAGATTCAGTATAGGGAGACTATGGTTTTAGCAACGATACTCTTGTGGATATTGTATACTTACTTATTATACAAGACATTAGATGCCACTATTATGTAAAGTTTTGTGTCGAAGATTCTACCTATTTTAGCAATATAAGTACATTTAACTGTATAGACTTTGTTGGGTAAGTTAGTCAGCTTCTTAGCTGTACTTTGGGGCAGAGATATATGAAAGTTGAATTATTGATCGTGTGCAACATTGTTTCATTATTAATTTACTGTCTTTTGCCCTTACAGTATTATCAAAATCTGTTTGCATTAAGTTCAGCAGAAAGGGAGATCAAGGAGCACTTGAACCAGAACAAATTAAGAGATGCTCGCATGTAAGGATATGATTTTTTCTTTTTTTTGAGAATCATATATGAAAATTTAGTGTTAATGTTTAAAGATTTAAATTTTTTCATGTCTCTGAGACTATTTGGTTATCAGAATCTCTTAAGTATATTGTCAAATGATACCCATTTGATGTCATTGCAATGAACTGGAGTTACACATTTCTACACGCTTTATTCAAGTAGATGCTAGCTTCATCCTGGTGTCCTTGGTAACTCTGGCCTTCAGCAGGGGTAGTTAGAGAATAGTGCTGCAGGGGATAGCATGTATGCACAGTCGTCTTTACATGTTAATGGCTCCACAAGTGCTTAGTGACCAATGAGTTAATTACTAGTATTATCTGTCTCACCCATTTACCCTTTTCCAGGATTTTTGGAAATATTCTCTATAATCTTATATTGCCGTTGGTAATGTTCATAGCATTGTAATAATCAAAATGTATATAATAATAACAATGATATTTAAAAAAAAGGAAATCAGGTGAGGACAGATCTACTAATTGACTCCTTTTTGGTTCAGCACATTTTGGAGTCATCTATGTGAAGACTTTCCACAAATTAAAACTACATGGAACACCACACTTACATGGCAGCACTGGGTGATTGGAGTAATTTTTCCAAGAGTTTTGGGAAATGAGACTTCAGAAGGGATGGACACTACATTTCAATAATAGAGGGATTGTATTTATCTTTAATAATTCTGACTCCTTCTGTAAGGCTTGTTCAGACGAGTGGGCCTGATTGACAGCCATGCCTGTTAACATACACATTTGACGGGCAAAGAGTCCACTGAGTGCCTGGTGGTTTGAGCTTCTGTTGTTATACTCTTTTTCTTTTTTCTTTACACAACAATTATCGTGCTACACAATGTTTTCTTTTTGGTAAGGCTAGGTGCCATGCTTATCACACACTACTGGCATTGTCTGGTGTGTTAACAACATTCACAGGGAAGCCTGGCATAATTTGCACACCAACCATGCTGCCCAGTGGACACACCTGCTTGTCTGGACAGGCCTTTAGGACCTTCAACACCCTCTGAATGTTGAGGACCTTTTTCCTAGGAACTTAAGGGCAAATAGGCTAAGATTAAGGTTTCTAAAATATATCCTAATGTCCTTAATGTTTTTACAGGAAAGTGGCAACTATTACCAATGAAGATTTAGTACTGAAAGATGTAGAAGGCGACACGTAAGCATGTTTTTTTTTTTTTATTGTAATATTGAACTATCTCCCCATGCAAAACATTTTTGAATGTCTGGAAAATACTATATGCACCTTTTCTTTTTTTGAATAATATTTAATGAAATTTGGTTTTACCTTTCTCCTTCTTTCTAGTCCTCCCATGATTATTGCATGTGATGACATCAGAAGTCAATCATACTATGAAAACTTGGTTGCAGTCACAGAACGACAGAAGTATATTAACATCTGTTGTGATGTGCCTGTCAATAAGGTCCACAGGAGGTGCTCTTCTTGCCTGTCCAATGATCTCACTTCATTCTATTCATCACTGGCAATGAAGAACAATAGTGTAAGATCATCATAATTTTTAAGTTTTCATTTGATTTAACTATGATATAAGTATTTGTCCAAATGTTCATGTGGAAAACTCTTTAACATGATAAATTTACATTCTACTCATATTTTTTATTATATAGGGAGACACACTGCTTACATGTGTCATCAAGTTGAAGTATCCAGAGAAGGTGATTATGTACATCTGTGAGAACTTGATGGCTCGTTCAGCTGATATCCAGCGGGTGTTTGATCGTGAGAGTGTAACATCATTTTATTTGAGGCATACAGGAGAATATCCTGTCTTAAAACAGTAAGTAGTTCTTTCCTTTATAGTGAGGTTTCAGTAATGTCAAATTTTGCAGGAAATCATGAATACAATGTGTGTGCGTGGATGTGTGTGTGTGTGTACATTACAGAGTGTGTATGTCAAAGGCAGTAAACTTCTGCATTAATACTGGTAGGCAGAAGTGATACTATTTAAATAGCTAACTCTTTTTTCTTAAGAGTTCCACACAAATAGAATAGAACACAATATGAAATTGGTCAGCGCTGGTGGTAACTGCGGTAAAGCCATGGTGAGGGGTACAGGCACAAGTGGACATGGCGCCCATGTAAACATGGTTATGGTATGCCTTATTGCTTGGTCACCTACTCGCATCTTGCCCTCAAGGCATCATTTGCTTTGCCTCAAGGGTAACCTATCACAGGACCTGATCTGCTGGTCATCTTGTTCTCGTGTTCTTGTCTTTGGTCATCCTTGTGTTGCTCCTTGTCAGCTTCTTCTTCTTGGTCTTCCGTGAATCCATCCATCCTTGACATCCATGCATCCTTGAAGGTCTTGCCTAGGTCCTCCTTGACTTCAAATTGTTCAGACTTCCTTATAGCCCTCGTCCAGGTGTTACTCGGAGGCATATTCCTTATAGATCTCGTCCAGGGGTTACTCGGAGGCATATTCCCTACAGATTTCATCCAGGTCCTTCTCAAATTCGTGCTCATCCAGATGTCCTTGTAACCTGGGTCTATGGGTGACGGGGCAGGGGCGTCCTTTCTGGCATCTGAGGGCAGTTGATACTTGTGTTGATGAGCTCCTGGAGTTTGACTGGATGTATGGGCGTCCAGGCAGGCAGCACAACAACCGGGGTGACTGACACCTGCTCTGATGAGTTCCTGGTTTGCTGGATCTTCGGGTGTCTTGGCAGGTGGCACCCTTTCACTTCTTCCTGGGCAGCTCAATACCTGCACTGACAAATTCCTGGTCCTCAGGCCTACAGCAGCATTCTGGTGATTTCCTTTCTACAGCTTTCCAAGGCTGCAGCTAGCCCTCCTTCAGTGCCGTGTCGCAAACCCATGGTCCATGTAATGTTTTATCGAACCACATCATACATATAAGGGCCAAAATAGTAAGAGAAAAAGAAAGACAACAGAGAGGATGTGTGTGTGTTAAGTGCTACTAAACAGTATTTTTATATTAATTTGCAGTTTTTAATGTATGCTATTTAATTTTTTCAAGAAGAAAATTAAGATAGGGAGACGTAAGTAGCGGTCCGCAAAGACCTGCTTGAGCTATGAATTGTCTCAGATAGATATGAAAATAATAAGGGAAACGACAATGTCAATCCACAAGGATGTACTTGAAGTGATTGTCGTCTCATAGAGAAAGAAAAAATATGTAAATGAGAATTGTGCATCATCATCACTTGTCATAACAGGCAAAATTGCAGGCAAAAGAGGTAAATGTGCAACTACAACACAACAAACTCTATTAATGAAAGTTTCAGTATCTTTTGTCTTGTGTGAATAGTTGAATATGTTATGATTTCATGTTATGTTGCAACTCGTCACGACTGACAAAAGAGATACCTTATCACTCTTTATGCTTACAACTAGGACATCTACAAAGTCTGTTCATGAAAAGTTGCTGTGTCTTATTTTGCATGAATAATTGAGTGTGTGACGAGGGTGTGTAAGTATGAGTTTAAAGAACGTGAAGAGAGAACGAGCTTATACAAAGAATGAATCACAAACACGAATATTAGCACTCACATTAACAAATATTATAATTATTAACCCACCCACGACAGTCCATTTGGAGGTCACCTGTTGCAAGTGGTAATAATTATGGTAATGCAATATTATTTGAATTACCACAATTGTATTTAGTCTTAATTGAGGATTCGATACAAATTCTGATAGACTGAGGTAATTCTCTACAATCTGTGATGGTAGCTCACAACCAACTCACAAATCACACAATTTGGGATTTCCCGAACATACAAGTGACTTAAGTAAAGTGATAAGGGCTTGATTAATAGGTGAATCATTATCCTAGCTCAAAACCCTGACCTACATTTATAATCAGACGTCAATACCGGCTCACACTGACAAATTGCTGATTGTATGAGTTACTTCTTTTTCATTATTAACTTACTTTCAGATGTCAGAGCAAAGATCTATTAGACGATTTAGGAAACCCTGCACATCCTCGTGCGCTTTGAAAGAGGAAACTGTTACTAGGGAGAAATAAATGATATGTATTGTTCGTGAATATGAATAACAAAATTACTGGGAGAATAAACAATCCGAAAGAGTCTAAAAAACGAGGGAATTTCAGTCAATCAACGAAACGTACAAGAGAATGGAGTACATAGAATTCACAAGGAGAAAATTCTCAGTTTGAGAGAAATCTCAAACAAATATTGTATTTGATGTAGGTGAAACAATATAAATCTCTAAAAATGAGAGAATGAATTATTTAGTGAACAATATTTCCTGTTTGTGACCAGAAGTCATATTCCACACCTGTTTACAGGGCTATGACCTCAGCTCAAGATGGGTGACAGAGTGAGAGTGTTGCCATTTCCTGCTACATTAAAAATTTTATAAGAGTTATCACTATCCACATTAACCAGCAAAACCAATGATTAAGTGACCACACATTTGTATAGCTTAACATATACATGGGAGAAGAAGGCAGGGAAGAGAAAAGATTGGCCCATCAAGTATAGTTATGTGGTTTTGAATTTATCTTGTCTCACGGTGGCATTGGGCGAGTGGAATTTCGGAAGCGAGTATGTGTTTCTAAGCTGAAAGGTTGAAACTACTACTGCTGATACCAACTACACATTCAATGGGTGGGGCAGAGTAATATTGCTTAAACAGCTTACTCTGTTATGAGCCACACAAGTAGTCTACCATAGTGCACACATAGTGTTTATGTACATGTGTGTGTGTGTGTGTGGTGTGTGTGTGTGTGTTGTGTGTGTGTGTGTGTGTGTGTGTGTGGTTGTGTGTGTGTGGTGTGTGTGTGTGGGTGGGGTGTGTGTGTGTGTGTGTGTGTGTGTGTGTGTGTGTGTGTGTGTGTGTGTGTGTGTGTGTGTGTGTGTTGTGTGTGTGTGTGTGTGGTGTGTGTGTGTGCATGCGCATATGTGCACGTATTGATGCACATATGCTGTATTTAAAATTATATCAGTCGTTTAATCTGAGTATAAGATGATAGCAAAAGAAGTTAATGAAACAAAAAAACAAAGTCATAACAATATTTTTTACATATTAATTTTACATGTTTACATTTTGTATCTTTACAGGATGTTGCACCTTGCTCAGGAAATGAGATGCAATCCACACTTTAAACACTGGACATGCAGCCAATAAATACAAGATTCTACTTATTAGATAAAATGTGATACATGAGAATTATATGTTGTCACATATTTAAATAAGAAATCGAAATACTCCAATTAAGATTTGAAGCATCTAGGTCCAGAGTCATAACAAGTAAAGGCCTAAAGTTAAACATTGTTATTCAAGAAATAATGAAGATGTCATGCTTTTTTATGTTTAGAATCCTTCCCCAAAATAGATTTTTATGTTTGCAATACAAGTAGCATGGCATAGGCATATGTACAGATGATTAAAATATGCATGATATGAGCCAAAGCTTACTTATGGTCAGCTATTTCACCTGCTCTAAGGCACCAAAGATTTTACTTATCAGCTTTATTTCAACCATAATTGCAAGACCAAATAGGCCAATGTATATCTGCCACAGAAATGGTTCTGGGAAAAAGGATGCTATACTTGAACCGGTTTTCTGCCAGGTGGACCTTATTCTTATTATTATTCTTCTTATTAGTATTTTGTGCCTTGACATCTCATTTCTTTTTTGTTTGTTTATTTTTTAGAGGATATGTATATATGTACCTGATTGAACTTATATGTATTAAGCAGATAATGGTAGCAAAATGGTTGAGACACAGTTTACCATTTTTCCCCTGGTGACCAAAAGCCAGCTTTATAATTATAAGCTTTAAATATAGTCTTGTGGTTGCTTTTTATCATTAGTGAAAGTAGTCTGTCAAAATGCATTATCATACTTCATAATTATTTTTTTTTTTATGAATTTGTCACAAGTGTCATATGACAGTTGTACTGTTGGCCTTCATTCAGGTATTGTTTTTATTTTTATGCAAACAATGACTTTTACTTGATTTTCTTTGCTTCAGGAATCAGTTTCATAGCATTAGGAGCTGCTTTTCTTCCCATACAATAGTCCTGTTTTAATAAGTCTTAGGTGTCATACTAAGAAATTATAGTTTTATTCAATTCATCATTTTCAGGCCTGAAAATATTTCAATTAATCTTTTTCAGGCCTGAAAATATTTTTTATATCTTAACTGTATCCCCTGTATATGTATGGGATAGATACCCTGTGTGACATTTAACATTGTACTTTTGCATTTAAGTGTGCAGACCAAATTATTGCCTAAGTGTGATTATATTTCATAGAAGTATAAATGGTTCTGAATAGAACTTTGATGATAATGCATCCTAGTGTTATTTGTCAATAAGGTAAATATACTGCCTGTATTAATATGGAAGATTTTATCCCTTAATAGGAAGAATAAACATATAATAAGTTCAGTTACTGTTTAAAATACCATTTATTTCTTCAGTACCAAGCTGTACTAGCAGCCTTCACCATTTTAGCACAGCAGACATCAAATTTCACTTTCTAAATTGCGCTAGTGAGCACTGATTTAGTGATCAGAATAGCAGGTTCCTAGTAGTCTTTAATTCTACAATCAGTTGTGAGTTATAAGGAATTTTCTCTGGTTTTCTTTTTTAATGTAAACTTTGTGAATAAAATGTAAGAAACATACACATTGCACAGATGCTTGAAACCTGTGCACCAGCATCTGGGGTCTTATTATTTCAGTATCGTCTGCTAATTTCCATATTGTTGTTATATTTTCAACTTGAATGTATATTGCTGCTAAGGTGGAATTAATATTGCTTATTTCTGAGCCATCTGAAAATATTTTTTTTATGATTTAGGTATCTTGTATTTTCTATCATTGTATATTATGTGATTTTATTATTTGTTCTGGGACTTTTTTGCTTGATAATCTAAACAGCTTGTTTCTATATTTTCAAAAATGACGAACCATGGTGGAATGGGAGTTATATTTGGCAATGCTTTTGTTTTTATATTTATTTGTAATTCTTTACAAGTTTCTAAAAACTCTATGTAATAAGCTTCTTTTGCCTTTATGGGGTTGTATTCTTTCATGTTTGTTATAATCAGTTTTTTTTTTTCCGTTCTTTCTAGTATTTTTAACCATTGGGTAAATTCTTGTTCTTTTAATTTATATTGGATGGGCATCTTAATAGTTAGGGTGCATAATGCCACAACTGGGGTGGTTGTTAAACAACCTGTGGCTGTTCTTAAAGCATTATTTTGAATAATTTCTAGTTTTTCCATTTCTGTGTTATTTACCATACCAAATTCTACTTTTCGTATAATAGAGATGTCATAGAATTTTATCATCATTTCTCTATTTGCTCCCCATGTGGTATAGTTTTTTTCTTTATATTTATTCTGTTTGTGCATTTGATTTTTAAGTAATTGATGTGATATTTCCACTTTTTGGAGCATCGAATTCAAGGCCTAGTATTTTGTGTTTGGTTGTAAATTTAAGATCTTCATTATCTTTATTGCTGTTTATTACATAAAATAGTGTCTTATTTTGTTTTTGTGAAACACATAATTTTACTTTTTGCTTGATTTACTGTTCCAAATTGTTAGCCCATTCAATGATTTGATTTAATTCTATTTCTATGTTGTTTTTGGCTTTTGCTAGGTTTTTGTGAGTTGTTACTATTGTAATATCATCAGCATATGTTACTTTATATGTTTTTTCTGTTAGAGTTAGGTCAGTTGTCATTATATTGAATACTAGGGGACTTAAAGGGGAACCTTGTGGTAGTCCTCTCATTAATTTTTCCTTCTTCGGACTTTTTGTTACCCATTGTTATTTGATAAGTTCTGTTATTTAAAAGGTTATATATCCATTTAAGTGGGGTGCCCATTATTTCGAGTTTTGCTGCTTTTTTATGATGGCATCATGGTTTACAGTGTTGAAAGCCTCCCCTAAATCTAACCATGCTATTCGGGCATATTTTTTCTCTTTGTAGGCTTTGTTGATATGTAAATCTATGCCTGAATCCTGTCAATGATTAATGGTTAATGGTTAAAAGCAAAATGAATGTGCTAGACATCTAAATCTAAGGTCATATAGCACTATAGGAAGGTATAGTAAAGGTTGATAGCAGGTGATAGTTGCTATGTGTCAACAATTTAGAGTACTGTTGATGAGTAAGGGAGTTGATAAGGGAATGGGTTATGGTGGTTTAGGTAAGGGAATTAGATTAGGTGAAGGATATTTATGCATCTGAGGAAGGAGAACAGGTTGTCAAGGCAGAAGCTGTGGGATTCTGTAAGGACGTCTGATATGTTGGGAGGTCGGTGAAGGGAGGATAGATATGGAAAAACAGTGGTACATGCTGTATTAAAGCATGGGCAGGACAACAGAATGTGTGGAACTGAAAGAGGGACATACATAGAGGACATAGGGGCAGGTCAGAGCATGACATTAGATAAGCGTGTGTTATGATATCCTTTTTCTAGGTAAAAGAATATGGCTAATACGGATTCATATGCTTTTTCAAGATCAAAGAATATGGCTAATACGGATTCATGGCGTGCAAATGCAGATGAAATATGTCTCGAAATGGGCAAGTTGGTCTGCTGTACTTCGAGCATGGCAGAAACCAAACTGGGAAGGAGAAAGGAGATTATGAGATTCTAGTAGCTTGCACAAACAGCTAGTTAGAGCAATGGGGCGGTAATCTTGGGGCAGGGTATCTGATTTATGGATTTTAAGAAAGGTAAGATAAGAGCTTCTCACCAATGAGAATGAAAATTTCCTGATATCCATATGTGGTTGAAAGTAGGTAAAAGGAAGGATAGAGAGGAAGATGGAAGGTGTCGCAGCATACGATAATGAATACCATCAGGGCCTTCAGCATTGCAGCGTTGAGTTCAGAAGAAAAACAAGCATTATAGGACTCATCAGAGGATTTGGTGAAGGTAATAGGAATGTGTTCTTTGATGGCCTTCATGGAAGAAAACTGTGGGGAAAGGTGAGAGCCACTACTGACCTGGCTGAAATAGCCCAGTTCATTAGCTACTTCAATAGGCTCAGAAATGAGAGTATCTTGAATATGGAGGACGGGTGCAGGATGGGGGGATATTTGCCTGATAATTTATGGATCCGTCGCCAAACAGCTGAAATACATGTAGATGTAACTGAGGAAACATAATTTTGCCAGCTATTTGTTTTACTGTTCCTGATTGCACGGCGAAGATGGGCAGATGCTCTTTGAAAGGAGATAAAGGCTGATAGCTGGTGAGGGGTGCCTCGTTTATAACAATAGTTGTTCCAGGCTGCTCGTTTTAAGCGACACACCTTGGTGCAATCAGGATTCCACCATGGAACACATTTAGAGGTATATGGTCTTAATGTTCGAGGAATGGCTGTATAGGCAGCTCTTAGGATCGTGGTTGTAAAACATTGTAGCATATCTGAAATGGGCGGTAAGAGGGGTGGAGGGATTGGTATAGTAGAGAGTGAAGTGAAAGTACTCCAGCGTTGGGGATTAGGAAGTGGTACATATGAAGCAGGAGAAAGGAGTACTGGGAAGTGGTCTACAACTGACCAATGGAAATCTAAATGAAGAGTATGGGAGCATAGAGAGAGGTCAAGGCATGAAAGGATTGCGTGCACATGTCAAAGTGTGTGGGGCTATCTGAATTAAGAATAATTAGGTTATTTGTGGAGAGGAAGCGTTCTAGAGATCGGCCTCGGGAGTTGGTGATAGAGTCACCCCACACTGTGGGGTGACTCTATCACCAACTCCGGAGGAAAGGTGGTTGGAGTTGGGAAATTAGAGTTTCAAAGGCAACAAAGTCAATGGGATGGGATGGGGAGAAATAGACTGAAATCACTGATCCAGCGGCGAAGAAAGATGCAAATAACTGTGCACGGGGCAGTGGTTTGTATGGGAGGTATGATGGTTAATGGTTAAAAGCAAAATTAATGTGCTAGACATCTAAGGTCATATAGCACTATAGGAAGGTATAGTAAAGGGTGAGGTCAGGTGATAGTTACTATGCGTCAACTATCTAGAGTAATGTTGGAAAGTTGAAGATGGGTTGATAAGGGAAAGGGTTATGGTGGTTTAGGTAAAGGAATATATCAAGTGAGGGATATTTATGCGTCTGAGGAAGGAGAACAGGTTGTTATAAGAAGCAAGGATATGATGTAGGTCTGGTCTGTGAGAACGGAAACCGCGAATATGCTAATGTAGGAGAGCTATATCTTTATTATTTTATGAAGTGAAAGCGCCGGTATGTTGGAGAATCTGGGGGGGGGGGGAGTTAGGGGTTGTAAAGGAGGGGTATCAGGAGGTAGGGAATCTGGGGAAGGGTATTGTTGTGACATGAGTGATTCCCGTGTGTATCCGGGAGGGAGTGGAAAGGATAGAAGGGATGGAGGGAGGGAGAATGTGCATATAGTTGGAGTTGAAGAGGGTGGGTTGTGTTGCGAGGGAGTAGGAGGAAGTGGTGTGGGGAGAATATTAGTGGTAGGAGGATGGATATAGGAAGAATGGATATTTGGAGTTAAAGGGGATGTGTTGTCTCGGGAGGGATTAGGAGGAAGGGTGTAGGAGTGCTATGAGTTAGAGGGGGATGGATTTCAGGAGGATGGATATCGGTGGTGGACGGAATTGAGGGGGTTAGGTTGTGTTGAGAGGGAGGAAGAGGAAGGGGTGTAGGGGAACATGAGTAGGAGGGGTAAGGATATCGGCAATCACTTGGTGTGGAGGAAGCATGAGTTATGGAAATTTGTGTCTCAAGTATATAGCTTTGAATGTTTTCCATAGTTTCTGCAGTGGAGTTGGTTGGAGAGTTTTGTGGGACAAGGGTTTTCTTATGATGGGGGGGGGGGAGGAGACTGGTGTCTGAGGAGTAAAGATAAAGGTAGGTGGAGGTGAGTGTGGGGTAGGGAAAGGAGTGGAACGTTTAGTCTGTTTACTGCGGGTAGTGCGGGGAGGGAGGAGATGGTGTTGGGGGGCTGTAGTTGAGATTGGGGTGTCTGGAATTAGAGTGGCAAAAGAATTTGACTGGGGTAGGTCGAATGTAGAAGTGGAAGTGGGGAAGTATGTAGGTATAGGGGAGGGTGTAAGAACATCTTGAGGTGGAGGGGGAGGGGCAGAGCAAGCGACATTACTGAGCAGGGAGTATAAGAGAAACCTTGTCGGCGTGCTTCCTGTCTGGCTTCACGTAGAGTGAGACCATTTTTGTATCTGAGAGCTGCTACCTCAGACTCGAACTTGTAAGTGGGACAGCCTCTATAAAATACATTATGAGGGCAGCCGCAGTTAGCACATGTGCGTGTTTGTGCAGGGCAGTTCGATCTGTTATGACCGGGTTGGGCGCCGAAGGGGCATCGGTCTGTGGAGCGGCAGTGTTTGACAGGATGTCCAAATCACAATTTTGACATTGGCGGGGAGGTTGG